CAGGACCTCCCCAGCTATGTGTAGAGTCACTGAAAGGGATGCTGGGCTTATTGTCCTATCTAGGCTGCTGGTGTCCTGCTTCTAGATCAGAGGCTTTTATTTTTATTTATTTTTTTATCCCCCTGGTCAGCTAGACTAAAATCAAATTAACTTGTCACACACAGTCTCTAGTCTGCAGCTCCGTGCTGTTTAAAACTGAAATTTGCTACTGTGGGTTTTTGTTATGCAAAAAGCCTCCAGGCCCTGTAGCTGGGTTCTGGAAATCCTTAGCTAGGTTAATTCATCTGCTGATTTATGTTAAGGACCCCTGCCCATGTGCTCTTTGCAACTGAGAAACCAGACTTTGGTTTGGGTTATTAATCATTAATATATATTTCACCTTCTTTTTTATTTTTTATTTAATGCTTGTGATGTGCTCTGAATTGGCAGCTGTCAGGCTGGTCCCCAGAGGGGGAGATCCAGCTTATCAGTGGGGTTGTTTGCGTCTCAGTCAATTGGAATTAATTCCGCTCCCTGGATTCCGCTTATTTTCTCCCACACCGCGATCTAGTTCAGGTAATGATCTGCTCTTTCTTCTATTCTAAATTATGGCTACCCTCCACCGCCACTCCCCAGGCAGTGAGCTCAGTGCAGCCAACAGTGCGGAGAGCTCCGGTGTGGGGTTCTCCCATGTCTGGGGGTGCTGTCCCTTTAAGGCGTCAGCCAGGAGAAACCGTGGCTCTGGCAAGGGCTCAGCTGTTGCACGCGGGCTCGCAAACTCTAGAGCACTTTAAAGCATTCTCGGTTTGCTTTGTGAGTAGAAATCACACTCAAAAAAGAGATTCAGGAGAGACCCTAGTACCCTAATTCTAATTTCTGGACTCCATCTCCCTGTTCCCTTCACCTTTCCTCCCAATTTTCTGGTCTGGCAGCAGGAGCTCTGGACGGGTGTGTCCTATTGGGTTACCATTTTCCTGGGCCGAAATATTTATTTCTAATGACAACTAAATGAAATTTTGTCTTTAAAAAAAATACTTCTATTGGGGGCTCTTACATCTCTTATTACAATCCATACAATCATCTAGTGTGTCAAGCACATTTGCACATATGTCACCATCATTTTCAAAGCATTCCCATCCCACTTGAGCCCCTGATATCAGCTCCCCATCTCTTCCCCCTCCCTCCCTAAGGAACCCTTGATAAGTTATAGATTATTATTTCCATATCTTACATCTTCTTATGTCACCCCTCACCCACATTTCCATTATTCGTCCCCCTGGGAGGGGGTTATAGATTGATCCTTGTGATCAATTCCCTCTTTCTATCCCCACCCTCCCCTAATCCTCTTGGTATCACTACTCTCATTGTTGGCCCTGAAGGGTTTATCTATCCTGGATTCCCTGTATTTCAGGCTCTTATCTGTAGCAGTGCGCATGCTCTGGTCTAATCTGATTTGTAAGGTAAAATTGAGGTCATGATAGTGGGGTGATGGAAGCACCAAAGGACTAAAGGAAAGTTATGTGTTTCGTTGATGCTATACTGCACCCTGACTGGCTCATCTCTTCCCTGTGGCCCTTCTGTGAGAGGATGTCCAATTGTCTACAGATGGGCTTCCGGTCTCCACTTCATGCCACCCCCATTCACTTTGGGTATGAGTTTGTTCTGGGTCTTAGATGCCTAATAACCTGATTCCCATTGACACCTCATGATCACACAGGCTGGTGTGCTTATTCTATGTGGGCTTCGTTGTTTCTGAGCTAAATGGTCACTTGTTTATCTTCAAGCCTTTAAGAATATATATATATATTCACATATGTACATGCCTGTTTTTAGGCGTCTATAAATGTCCTTTGCCTCCTGGTACTTTCCTCTATTTCCTTTTACTTTCCTCTTGTCCCACCATCAAGTTTGGCCTTCATTCGAGTTTAGTAATTCCTCACTGCTATTTTGCCCTTGATTAAGCTCCACTAGACATCCTACGACCTTCCGTCCATGGATTTTAGTTCACTTGTCCCTGGGTTGGTTCCCCCCCCACTTCCTTTCTCCCACATTCCCTTCTCCCTTATCCTCCCCAGAACCATTGGTCTCGTTCTTTTCATCTCTGAATCATTTATCCCATCAATCTTATCTAGATAGACATGCCAGATACATTAGTAAGTTCAAAAACTAGGCAAAGCCAGATAAAACAAAAAAGGAAGTCAAAAACAACAAAACAATAACAACAAAAAAACTAAAACAAAATAACAACAAAAAGAAAGCCACTGACAAGAATGGAAAAGCCTATAAATAATTCACAGTCTGTTTGTTGGCTTACGAGTGTTTTCCAATCGAGTCTGATGGGGTGCCACACTCTGTCTCCAAAGTCTATTTTTAGTATTCCCCAGGGAGTTCATCACTCTGCTTCCCCTGCTGCTCTGTTGCATGCCCTCAGTGCCTTGCCCCAGTGTGATGGGGCCAGACTGTGTACTATTCCTGCACTGTGTCTCCAGTGCTGTCCCCCAGTGCCATGGTTCAGTGAAGGACGTCGTGTCCCATGGTGGGGCCAGCCCTATGGCCCTCCCTGTGTGTTGTCTGCTCCAAGCAGGAACATCTTCTTCGGGGTTTGGTGGGCTATGATGTCCTCTCCTCCCTCTCCATCCCTTTTTATTTCTCCCATGTGCTCTAATCTGACGTGCCCCTGAAGCATGGTGTAGCATGTTTAACAGTCTTCACGCCAGTTACACATATGTGGGTGTATCTTCATGTGAGCAGACCTGCCTGGAGCTGAATAGAGGAATCATATCTTGGTTCCTAAGACCATCAGAAATGTGTTTTCTGATGGTCTTAGGCAACCCCTGTGAAAGGGTCCTTCAACCCCCAAAGGGGTCGCGGCCCACAGATTGAGAACCACTGTCAAGTCAAGCCTTCAGAGGTTTACAAAATTGAAAACGAAGTAGTGCATTCTTTGCAGTGAATCTTATTTGTTTATTTTAAGAAATTGATGATGGCTACATATGAGATTGAGAACCACTGTCAAGTCAAGCCTTCAGAGGTTTACAAAATTGAAAACGAAGTAGTGCATTCTTTGCAGTGAATCTTATTTGTTTATTTTAAGAAATTGATGATGGCTACATATGTACAAATATGCTTGATACAATTGATGTATATGGATTGCTACAAGAGCTGTAAGAGCCCTCAATAAAATGTTTTAAAAAAATGTTTTTAATTAAAAAAAGAGAGAGAGCTACAGCTTTGGAAACCCCGAGAGTTGGTTCTACCTAGTCATTATGCATTGGAATCAGTGCAGTGACTGTGGATAGGGTTTTGGTTTGGAGCCTCCTCAAACTAATGTGATATGGCGTTGTAGAAATAAAGACCAAGATCAGAGGGCTAAAGGGGCCCAAAGAAAGGACTCATGGTGGTTTGGGTACTGTTCATGTAGAACAGATGGTATTGTTCAGATATTTTAGATCAGACTCTCCTGGCCCTCATAGGAGGATGATCAAAAATTGAGTATTCTAATAACTCTTATCTATCGGCTAAGCTAATAGCTAAACAAAACAAAACCCACTATCTTGTCAGTTCTGACTCATAGATACCCTGTAGGGGCAGAGAAGAACTGCCCATAGGATTTCCAAAACTGCAAATATATATCAAAGCAGGCCACTACATCTCCCTGGAGTTGCTGGTATGTTTGAACCACTAACTTTTGGTTCACATCTGAGCACTTTAGACACTATACCACCAGGATGCATTAGTTAATGTTTGTGTTTTTTTTAACTTATGCCTTCAAGTCACTTTCTCATAACTGTGGGCTTCTGGAGTTAAGAGTCTTTACAAGTGCAGAAAGTGTCATTCACTTATAGAGCAGCTGCTAGATTTGAGCTTCTGACCTTGTGGGTAGCAGTCCACTACACTACCAGGGCTCCCTAGCAAATAGTTAAATGGGTCTAAATTTCTTGTGACAATTAACTACAGTAGTTTTTTATGGTGTTTTTATTAACTTTTATTCTAGTATCTATTGAGGAGTATGAGAATTTCACACAATTCTATTTATAACTCATTCCTTATTATATTGTATCGAAGTAATTAGGAAGGGAAAAAATTATACCCTAGGTATTTATCTATTCCAGCTCTCTCCAGTGTCACTTAATTTTTTATTGTATTTGTATATATTCCTATTTTATGTGTTTTATATTTATTTAATGTATATTCTGTGGTTGGTTTCATAACATTCATAGGACCTTCTACATTTAGATTTTTTTTAAGTACACAATGCGTAGTATCTTATGTCTTCTCGATTTACTATATAGGTGTTGTCATAAACTGTCACTCTATGTTCTTTGTTTATATCAATTTAAAAAATAATTTGGTAAAAGACTTTCTATAGGAAAATATGAAAAACACATGGAATGTTATTTATTTCAGAGTAAAGGCTTATGAAATTTTTAACTTTGAAATCATTTTGAAAGTTACCAATTAATTACAGGCTATAAAATGACTGGGAATTTTGCTATATAAACCCACTTACATAAAGGTAAATCCAATCAGTCAAACAAATCTTTCCTTTCATTATTTGTCTTAATTATATCTTCCAGTTAAAAAACATATTTAGAGGTGACTCAAAACTGTAAAATACTGGCTGCCTATTAATATCATCTTATAAAAGTTGGAATACATTCTGTTTGATTAATGTCTGCCTCATTAGATTCTAATGTGCTATATGTAATGTATTTCAGAAACTCCAGAAAGGAACTTAATGACATACGATTTGAGTTTACTCCAGGAAGAGGTAAGCTTTAATTGAAATTATTATTTGACTGCCGCAAAGAGCATTTCAGAAATTGATTACAAGCATGTGGTTATCATTTGCTGTTCAAAAATGCCTTTTATTAAAGCAAAGGCAGGAAGGAAGGAAAGTGGGAGGGAGGGAGGGAGGGTTAGAAGAAAGGAAGGATTTCTGATCATTGTAGGGATTTGAAACAGAACCACTACTGACTATATGCATGCCAGTGATGCGTGCCGTCAGGGTGTGCGAGCTTGCATGTAACATCAGCCTGACCATGAAATAAATAACTGGCAAAATGAGGCAGGGCCTCGAGGAAATGATGGTGAGTGGAATGAGAAGCACACGGCAGCCCTGAGGAAGTTGGAACAGCCAATAACTGCCTCTCTCTTCTCAGTTCCGACGACAGGAAACGAGTACTGAGCAGTGGCAGTGACCTCTCTCGGCTGCAGTCACCACTGGTCGGCTTGGTGGGAATAATGCCAATCTTGAAGTTGAATACACCTTTTACTATTTTAGCGAGTTATTAACACTGTGAAAACGCAAGCCTGTTTGCTCCTAAGCTCTTGCATGTTACAGAACCCTGCATTGCTTCTCGGTACCCTGGCACCCGCAGAGGGCATGGCACATGGGAAATCTCAAAGAATCATGGATAACTAATAGATATATAGCATTTACAAACAGTCTCTGGAGAGTACAAGATTAGGTGTAAATGATTTTTTAATTGTTTCGTTAATGTTTCCATGATTTAGTTTAAAATGAAAACAACACCGAGGATTTAAAATCAGTTGTGAATGCAAAGACTGGAACTCTTTTTCCATGACCCCATAGCGTCTTGTTTGTTGTGTACATCAAAACAGCTTCCATGTCTACGTCAAACGCCAGTACATTTTTGAGTATATATTTGTATGTACTGATACATGCCAGCCAATAACATTCTGCATGTGTTTCTTTTATGTCCCGAAGCTGCACACACACTTTAATTTGATTTTTTAAAGCATATTTGCTAAAATTTTGCAAATTTGGAAGTACAGGAATAATTCTAGGTGGATCTCTGGCCATTGAACTGCTTTGGCCTCCCTGTTATCAGCTGTTACAGGATGAAAACACGGATTTCTACAGGATTCAGGAAAAGTGGTGGGGGCTTAACAAAATCAAAGGGAAAATGGGCATACCAAATCCAGGGCCACAGAGTCTATTTTGAGTCACAGCCACTCTGTAGAACAGAGTAGAAGTACTCCATAAGGTTTTCGAGGCTAAAATGGTTACAAAGCAGCATCATGTCTTGGTCTTGTGAAGTGGCTGGTGGGCTCTAACCACTTACTTTCCAGTTAGCAGCAAAGACCATTAACCAGCGCCCTTTGGGAACCAGAGAGCCCTGTCACATTCCGCTTGGTAAACACACTGCCTGCCAAACAGTGCCCACTGTGGCCAAATGTGCCCATAAACTCATGGCTGCCCCTGATCTCTAGTTGCTGGGAGCACAAAGATTTATTAGATCCCAATATATTTATATTAAAATAGCATGGGAATATCTTTTACAAAAGAAAATAGGACCCTAATAAATTTGGGAATTGATCTTTCATTCTGAAGACATTTATCTTTGACAACTGAAGAACAGGTCTCTGAAATGGAACAAGGCCAGTTAGTGTTATTGAAGATCTGTTTTGTCATAATATAAAATTATTGACCAGGCAGTGCCGAGATAAAAATCTAGTAATTACATAATAAATGTTCCAGGTACAGTAAGTTGAAAGAACCAATTCTTATTTTAAATTCTTTTTCATCAGACTGTTGAAAGTTGACCATGGCAATAAAATACCAATTGTAATTTTAAGAAGTAACAAATAAATGAATTTCTGAGGGAAGGAATCTTATAGCTCCCAAGGCCAGATCAGCCATGATTTGGGCCATGGTGCTGGCTTTGGCAACCTCATTTACCTTCGTCAGATTCAAAGCCTCCATTTGTGTTACTATAGCATTGCCTTCCTGGTGCTCTCTGGTATCCAGTAGCCAACTGTGAATGGACAGCTGTGCCTGGGCCAGAGAGAAACAGAGGTGCCATGTCTCAGAGTAGCCCTGTGATCACTGATGCTGTCTGTAGTCAACCTGGGCATACAAACTATACTCATATACACACACATCTGTATATATGAAATAGACTATATAACACAAGCATATGAAGCAGTCTGTCCTCATGTTACAAGAAACCCCTTGTGCTTATCATTTTTTGCTGTATACGTTCAATATCGGACATGAATTCATGATCCTATAAACTTTTTTGCTAAGAGGCATGTTAAGCAGCTTAAAGAAAAATAAATTCCCAATGACACAGTTACCATCAAAAGCCTGTTTTAAACTCTCTGACCAGCTGCATATAAGATAACGCCCTGGTGACACATGGGAACTCTCTCATTTTGGCTAGACTCTGTGGTCCGTTTGCCCTTTTAAAATTACTCCTAGATGTCCTGAAAACGGAGATACTGCAGACTTCAATCCTTTGGGAATGTCATTTGTTAGCTTCGTCTTGGCTGTTTGATTTTTCAAATTTCAGCCATCTCCTGTGATTATAGATTCTTCCTTAGAGTCAGATAATGTGGATAGATGAGAGACAGAGGTCACACTTGCAAATGCCTCAGAAGATAACTATTCAGTAGAAATGTAATGACTGTCTACTGTGCGCTAAGTGCTTCAGTAGCCACTTTAATTCAGTATTCCTGAGATTCAGGTGGCATTTAAGACGATGGAGATTATGCAACTGCATGTTCTTGCAGATGTTCTAAAGATCGGTCATACTCAAAGTAGTGCCTTTCGTTGTGGTGCTGCCACGCCATGTGGAATCCTTTGATCACTTAGGAGACCTCTATAAGTTGCGTCTTGACTTCCTGGGGATAAGATCACTTGGACAAGCCCACATTACATGTAGTTGCATTTGATTAGTAAGGTTTCCAGTCTTTCCCCCTGTATTTCATTGTGTTCCACTTTGCTGTTAAATGGAGTCCCACCACCTGTGTGTGATGGTTTGTGTGTTGCTATTATGTTGGAAGCTGTCACTAGTATTTCAAATACCAGCAGGGTATTTGTGAACAAGTTTCAGCAGAGCTTCCAGGCTAAGAATAAACAATGAAGAAGGAATGACCGTGGAAAACTTAGGTATGCATAGCATCAACCCATTGTCAGATACTAGAAGTCCTACTGAATAGAAGCAGAGAATTTTCAGAGATGGTGCCATAAAGTGAACCCCAAGGTTGAAAGGCATTCAGAATACGACTGGCAAAGAGCTGTCTTCTCACAGTGGAGTCATCCATAATGATTTCAATGATGTAGACACTTCAGGAACTTCATATGTTGATGAGGCACAGCTCAAAATGAGAAGAAACAACTGCAAAAATCAAACTGATAGTGGCCATTTTGAATCAGAAAATCATGTCAGAATGCATAATCAAGAGGAATGGCATTGTATTCATTGTCTAAAAGGACATTTAAAGATATATCTTGAAGTACAGTGCTCTCTGTGACAGGGTTATATCTATCCACATTCAAGGAAATCCAGTTAATACTGCTATTATTCCAAATTATGCACCGACTGCTAAAGCTAATGATGAAGATCTTGAAGGATTCTACCAACATCTTTCATCTGAAATTGATCAAACGTGCAATCAAGAGTCATTGATAATGGTTGGCAGTTTGAATGCAAAGTTAGAAACAGAGAGGAAAGAGCAGTACTTGGAAAATACTATGTTGGTGATAGAAATGAAATTGGAGATTGCATGATAGAATTTTCAAGACCAACGACTTGTTCCTAGAAATACCTCTTTTAACAACACAAATGGCCACTGTACTCTTATTACTTCTCCAGAGAGAATACACAGACATCAAATTGACTACATCTTGGGAAGAGACAATAGAGAACTTCAATATCAGCAGGTAAAACAAGGTCAGGGGCCAACTGTGGAACAGACCAACAATTGCTCATATGTATGTTCAGGTTGAAATTGAAAATTTAAACAAATCCATGAGAGCCAAAATACAACCTTGAGTCTTTAAGAACATCTCAAGAATAGTTCTGCTTCACTGAACAGTAATGATAGACCTTGTGAGCTGTGGAAGGATATCGAGACCATCATACACGAAGAAAGCAAAAGGTCATTGAAAAGACAGGGAAAAAGAAAAGATCAAGGTGGATGTCAGAAGAGACTCTGAAACTTGCTCATAATCCTAGAGTAGTAGCTAAGACAAGTAGAAGAAATGATGTCAGAGAGCTGAACAGAATTCAAAGGACAGCTTGAGATGAGAAAGTCAAATGTTATAATGAAATGTGTTATAATGAAATATAATGAAAGACCTAGAGTTAGAAAATCAGAAAGAAAGAACAAGCTCAGTTTGTATGAAACTGAAAGAACTCAAGAAAACACTCAAGCCTTGCATTGCAATATTGAAAGATTTTGGGGGCAAAATATTTAGGCTGCAGGAAGTATCAACAGAAGATGAGAAGAATACACAGAGACACTGTACAAGGGGAAAAAAACTGGTTGACATTCATTCATTTTAAGAGGTAACATACGATCAAGAACCAGTGGTACTGAAGGATAGAAGTCTAAGCTGCACTGAAGATATTAGTGAAAAACATGACTCTAGGAATTGATGGAATTGAAATGTTTCAACAAACTGATGAAACACTAGCCAAGAAGATTGGAAGTCAGCTTCCTTGCCAACTGACTGAAAGAGCCTTGTATTTGTACCCATTCCAAAGAAGGATGACCCAACAGAATGTTCAAATTAGAGAATAGTATTTATACCACTTGCAAGTAAAATTTTACTGAAGATCATTCAGCATTCGTTGTGACAATTGACAGGGAGCTGCCAGAAATTTCAGGCCTGATTCAAAAGAACATGGAACAAGGGATAGCCCTGCTGATAACAGATGGATCTGAGCTGAAAACAGAATAACAGAAGACGTTTACTCACGTTTTCTTGACTACACAGAGACATTCAACTTTGCGGATCATAACAAACTATGGATAGCCTTGCAAAGAATGGGAATTCAAGAATATTGCATTGTGCTCATGCGAAATTTGTACATCGATCAAGAGGCAGTTGTGTGAACAGAACAAGGGAATAGTTTGGTTTTACATGGTTTGAGCATGGTTTTACATCAGGAAACGTGTATATTAGGAGTGCATACTTTCACCATATTTATTCAATCTATATGCTGAGAAAATAATCAGAGGCTGGATTATATGACACAATGTATTGGAGGAAGGCTTATTAACAACCTGCCTTATGCTGACACAAACTTGCTTGCTGAAAGTGAGGATGAATTGAAGCACTTGCTGATGAAGGTCAAGGATTGCTGTTTCAAATATGGGTTACAACCCAATGTAAAGAAAACAGAATCCCCACAACCTGACCAATAGACAACTTCATAATAAATGGAGAAGATAGAAGTTGTCAAGGATTTTGTCTTGCTTAGATCCACATTCAATGCTTATGGAAGCAACTCTTAAAGAGATCAAAAGATACATTGCATTGGGTAAATCTTCTGCACAAGGCCTCTTTAAATTGTTGAAAAGCAAGGTTGTTACTTTGAGGACTAAGGTGCTTCTGGCCCAAGCCATGATATTTTCTATTGTATCATATTCACGTGAAAGCTGGACATTAAATAAAGGGAGACCAAAGAAGAATTGTTGTTTGAATTACAGTGCTGGAAAAGATTATCACAAGTAAAATGGACTGCCAAAAAACCCAAACAAACCCATCTTGGAAGAAGTATAGTCAGTATAGGATTCTCCTTAGAGGCAAGGATGGTGAGACTTCGTCTCACTTTCATTGGATATGTTGTCAGGAAAGGCCAGCCCCTGGAGAAGGACTTTATGCTTGGTAGAATAGCGAGGCAGTGAACAAGAGGAAGGCCTTGGACAAGGTGGATGGATTGACACAGTGGTTGTAACAAGAGGTTCAAATGTTAGAACAAATGCAAGGAAGGTGCAGGATTGGGCAGTATTTTGTTCTTCTATACATAAGGTCACCGGGAGTTGGAACCGACTTGATAGCACCTAACAACAACAAATAAGTGGAATCCATAAAATGATAGTACCGTGGTTTCTCTGAAAGTATAAACAATATACATTGGATCTCAACCTTTTCTTGGAGATTAGGGAAATTGAACCAGATAGGAAGGGAGGAAAGCAGACAGAGGGTGTAAAGTATGATTCACATGATATTTGGCTGATGCATCATCACCACCAAATAACTCCCTACCATCGAGTCGATTCTGACTCATAGTGACTCTGTAGGACAGAGTAGAACCGATCCTGTAAGTTTCCAAGGCTGTAACTCTCTAGGAGTAGAAAGCCTGCTCTTTTTCCCATGAGTGGCTGGTGGGTTCGAATTGTTGACCTTGCCGTTAGCAGCCCAACGAGTAACCCATTGTGCCAGACATCACATGCCATTTATGTTGCACTTCCTGTGTGTTAGACACTGGGCTAAGCACTTCATAACCCAAGAATTGTGAAAGATAAAATTGTACCTACACACACACTCTCATAGCTTTGGAGGCACGTCTTTGGCCTGATGGACGACAGTTCCATTTGTTTGCTCTTTTGATTCAGCAGCTCACTATCAGATTGTCCCTGACCTTTTGAGACATGTCACATTTCTATCTGGCTTGATTATTGATTGATGCTTTTTGTTTTTGTTTTTGTTTTTGTCCAGTTGTATTATTACATGCTTATTAAAACATCAGAGGACCATGGGATCAAGTCCCCTGTCCACGCTCCCATCCCCTGTAAAATAGAAGTTTATAATGGTTCTTTTGAACACGTTGCAATTTATTAATCTCTCTTTACAAAGTCTTCCAAAAGACATCTCAGTGTTACCAAGCTCATTCATAACCTTTCAATTAATTTCAGCTATATTCACTTGCCACAGCCTGTTCAATCCCATCTTTGTGAAATTGCTGAATCTTGTCACTACATTGAGAAACTACATTATTTTACTCAACCACAATTTCTTAAATAAGGAATGTGTCGCATCAAATGATCAATGTCAGGTTCAAAGACTTTTCTAACAATATAAACTTCGATAGTTCATTTTAATAGTCCAATAAGTTCATAGATTTTTTTCTAAATATGAGGTGTATCATACCCTACCCATTCAACTTTAGCATTAAATTCTAGCCCACAAGCAGCTAATAATAGAAAAAAATCTTAAAGATAGCTAGAATGAATGTTGGTAAGAAAGAAAAGCCATGTCCTAGGGAAATGCTCAAGGTAAACTTGCAGGGGTACATTTTCAAATGAATTCAGACGATAACCAGAGGGCGGCACAGGCTTCTTATTACACTAAAAGTAAAAAATAGTAATGATTTATGTAATTTCCTATGAAAACATAGCAAGATGGAAATTGTGTGTGGCAAATGTATTTCAGGTAGCCTCTGATTCTTCCTCCAGATAGAATCTAAATCACTGAATTAAAACACATGTGAGTGAATTTAGTCAATGAAAAACACATGTTTTATATTGCACGGGGTTGCCGGTTCTTATTTTATGGTGACTAATACGTATTCATTTCATGTTTGGACAGATACGGCAGATGGCGTTTCCCAGGAGCTCTTCTCGGCTGGCCTGGTCGATGGACATGATGTAGTTATAGGTAACTCATCCTTTAGTATGCGGCGTCATCTTGTTGATATAGCAAATGCAAATGTGTTTAGAAACAGAGCTCTTCCTAAAAGAATACTTTGCCCCATGGATTTTGGAAAACATCTTCTTGAATTCTTGTATTAAGGAAGTTGTCTACCTAAGAATCCTTTTTAATATTCCTTTGGAAAGCTTTTAATTTTTTATGGAGGTATGTCTCATTTATCTGTACACCATTTATTTGATGAGGTTCTTAAGTTTTGGCAGCTATAGCAAAGAACCTAAAAGTAAAACCCAGAAGTCCATGAGATGGGAAAAAATGGGTTGTTACAAATTCTGTGCACAAAAATTCTGGGACCTCAGGTCCTTTTGCCGAGTTTCTCACTCTTTCTTTGGACCCAGTTCTAAGGCATTTAGACGCTGGCTTGTCCAGTCCTCAGCAGTACTCATCATAATGCCTTAAGGTTGGACCTTCAAGATCATTCAGACCAGTTCTTCTCTTGGGCAAGGAAACCAAGCCCCAGGGAGATTCAATGACTTATCCAGGGGCATGAGGTTGGGCTGTGGCAGCAGTAAGGTTAGAGTTATGTTTTAAACCACAACTCCTTCTAGCACTTTAAACATGAACAGATAGCTACCTAGAGGGGGGGAGGGTGAGAGGGGGACGTGTTGCTGGATCCAGGCATTTTGATAGGGACAAGAAATGCTACTAAACCTCCTAAGAAGAGAGGTGGAAAAGCTCTGAGAGAGGGTCATGATCAGCTAAGGAAAAATGTATCAGGAGCCACATAGGTTAAGGTGAGTTGCTCCAGATTCCTTACAACTTCTAAGATTATAAGAATTTTCTAGCATGGTCTATTACAGGATATTCATGACAAAGGCCATATGTCATAAAGATTAATTAACATTGTACCCTATTGGTCATGATAGTTAATTACATTGTTAATTGTAGTAATATTCTAATTAGGAGAATGTGTTTTATGGTAAGATTTAAGTATTCAGTGCAAATTGATGGCTGAATTGACTTACTTCCCGTGAATGGCACGCTGCAACTTTCAAAACTCAATTGTTTGTAGTAAATTCTTTCCCAGTATTGCTAGTTGGTATGACTGAGGAACATTTGGGGAGATATGCACACATGAAGTATTATTTGTTACCTGGAAAGGCTCTACATGACGGATCATTTTAAAGTGAATTATTTTATGTAAATGAGATTAAGTGGGTTTGTAGTAGGAGATTGGGATTCTGACTCAAGAATCAGTATCTGATGTCATCGATATACAAGTGATTGCATTTATGGCGTTTCACTTGTATATCAAAGGTACCAAGATATATTTATAGTTAAAAAAGCTGAGCTAATCTTCCTATTAATATTCAAGCAGTGTGCAAGATTGATTTTAAAAGGAAAGGAATTCTTTTGCCAAGTGGTGTGTGTGTCAGCACACACACACACACACACATATCTTCATGTGTTATCAGATAACTATGTATTAGGGAGCTTTCAAAAGTTCTTGGAAAAATTCCATTACATTGGAATTCCATTTTTCCACTCACTTTTTGATGCCTCCTTGGATATCATCCAACCCCCAAACCCACTGCCATCGAACCAATTCAAGTCTATAGTGACCTTATATTGGATTTCCAAGCTTGTAACACTTTATAAGAGTAGATAGCCTCAGCTTTCTCTTGTGGAGCGGCTGATGGATTTGAACCTTGTAGTTCACAATCCAGCACTCACTTGCCAAACAGTGCCAGGAGGGCTCCTTATGCATAATTATCTTTTCTTCCTTGGATTGACAATCTTGTGTGATCTCATGGCTCAACTGCGTTTTCTTTATCAAATATGAAAGACAGAAAAAAGATCAATTCCACTTTAGTGTCTACTTTAAATTTCCTCATAGAATTATTTATGTAACTTGACACTTCGTATTGAAAAGGTTAAGTTCTCTCGTTCTTATTAGAAGATATAAGCACACACCTCTGTGCCTTAGTTTCCCCAGAGAAGAACAGAAAAAATTTAGTGGGTAGGTCAAAATATGTTTTTCCTTCAAGAGAACCATTACCGAGGACCAAAACTAAACAGTAAGGAGAAAATTATAGGAGAAAATAATAACCTAAATTCTATGCTTAAACAACTACTCAAACCTCCCATTGGGTAAATGTTGAGGATCAAATAGTGTTTTCAATTGAATTGATCCTGGCAGGTGGTGGGGAACATGGAGGATAAGAGAGATCCTTGTTGTAAAGGCGTTTAGGTCACATCTTTTGTTAAGCATGGTTTCGCCTCATGCCTGCAGTCATATTGAATGTACTTTTCTTTTGCCCCAGGCTCAGTTGAATCTAAACGAGAGACATCTTGTTGTTGACCTAAAAAAAAAAAAAGCAGAAATTAAAGCTTACTTCACATTCAACTATTATAGACAGTACATAATCAGAAAACTTCTGTTTTTCTGTGTCATAATAATTATCCTTCTAAAGTATTTCATCTTCTGGGGGCGTCAATATTCATATGTGTGGAGTGTGGGTGTAAGGCTGGCCTGCGATGAGTCTTCTTTATGAAACAGGCGCAAAGATGCCCCAGATGCACATCACACTGAAGAGTTTGCAAATTACCTTTCCATATTTCCTTTGGTCATTACATCAGTTCTCTGAGGTAGAAATAACAGGTTCTTTTTACTTGCGGACAACAAGAAGAAGGGGGGGGGGCGTGGAGGGAGCTCAGAGTTGAAAGAAGTATCTGTGTAATACATCTTGCTGTGGTCCTTGAACTTGGGTCTTATGCTTCTCAACCAAATTTATTTTTCTTTCTCCATTCTTAATGAAGTGTTATCTGGACAGTACTTTCCATTACAGCCATTTCCCTCCACTCCCTTACAGCTACACTTAACCCAAATACCACTCCTGACTTCATTGCCCATCCTACCACTGTCTCTTCCCATGCTCCAGGTATACGTTTGACTTCCCAATTTCATCCAGCTGTTCTTTTCTAAGTTGTATCTCCAGGAGGCAGACACCCAGAACAGTCTATAGATTTATAGAGTCAGGAAGCAGATTAGTGTTTACCAAGGGTTAGAGGAAGGGAAAGGGGAGACACTGCTTGTGGGCACAAGATTGACTTTGGGGTGTGATGAAAGATTCTAGAATTAGAAGGTTGTAAAGGGTGAATTTTAGGGAATATGGATTATTTCTCACTTGTAAAAGGGGGTTGCAACCCACAGGTTGAGAATTAGGTTGAGCATTAGGGTGTTTAAAAGATTAATATAATTTAAGTTTTACAGTGGTAGGATTTATAAATAAACAAGACAGCCCATGACATGAGGAAAGACTACACAGAATCGTAAGAGAAAGAATAATGGAAGGCAGTACTTTCCCCAGTACCCAGAAATGGACATATCAAATACTAGGGTTCCAATAAATATTTTTTTTACAGAGAATCAAAATTTGATTTTGAAACAGCCAAATACCTAACAATTACTTTGGAAACAAAAATTGGGTTGGATGCAAAACTATCATTTTAAGGGTCATACTTTTAAGATTGCAGAAACTCATAATAACATTTGTAGTTGCCAGGCTGGCTCACCTGATGACAGCTATGCAAAAGTCTAACTCAGTTTAGAACACTGAGAGAGGGGTTTGAGTGAATTTTTATGTAGGAGGTGGTGTTGTTTTTTTCAACTTCCTTAATGCAAAATGGCTGACATAAAACTGACCTCCCCTGCTAATCCCCTAAGTAAATGATCTTGGAAGAATGAGAAAGCTGAAAAAAAGCAATCGCATATGTTACAGAGCAAAGAATGTGAAAGGTTTAACTGGAGTAGTAGCAAGTATAACTTTCAAACAATCTTCATACCTGGCTGCGGTACAATCTGTCTTTAGTGTGCGAAGCTTTACAAAGCAGAATTTGGATTGAAGAAAGGCCAGGATAGCGACATGGAGTGATTGCGTTGGGGCAGAGGCAGAGCCATGCAGAAATTAAATGCAGTGTTTGTAGACTGAA